TTGAGTATTATTGATTGATTGACTGATTGTTCGATTGATTGATTGATCGATTGATTGATTGATTGAATGATTGAATGATTGATTGCGTCTCCGCCGTACCACGCTGATCTCAGTATTGGTTGGACCAAACTTCCTAATACTGCCCGAATTCCGGACTTGTGCGGATCCTTGTGGCGAATCTGCTTCATCATTATCAGAATTCTACGCGCGTTATGAAATTATGAAGCTTGCGTCCTCCCCCTTGTCACCAGTTCGTGTCGCGGTGTTATTTGAAACATCGGAAGCTCCTAGAGAATGCTCGGAATTATTTTGCTTCAGAAAAGCAATATGGTTAAGTATCTGGTAAGTTTGTCCGCATTTTTTGTGTCGATAGACAATCACTACTTCCTTGTCACCTGAGCCAACTGTGGATATGTAGCATAGTTTTGGCGCCATCTTGTGATATTATGAGACCCATCTAAGCGTAAAATAACCATTGAAAATTCCCAAATACTGTGTACCCTTTTTGTACAGAATGTGTGAATTTATCCGTTAATTCAATCTAGTCATTCCACGAATTTCCAGTAGCGACAGTTGAAAAATTGTTAGCCTCAAGGTATACCAATTGGACTATCTCCACAGTGAGAAAATAAGCTGTGGGATGCAGATTTGTTTGCCTCGGGGAATTATATACATATATATTCATACAAACACTCTCGGTGACCCTTTGGAGGCTCGTTCGATCGGCCAGCTAAAATTTTCGGAGGATACGTTTGGTTAGGCTGTCAGACTTAGGTTCATATAACTGGTACGCACGACAACGAGTTACGATCTTTTGTCAGCGCAATAGTTCAGCGTGAAGTGACTGACCGAAAGATCATGATTTGAATCCAACCTCTGCATCTCGATCTCTAATGTCTAGGTTTTAGAACTCTTCCAATTTTTCCGGGTGGCATGGCAGCCATGCACCAAGAGAGTGTTACAGCTGAAAGATTTTCTTTCGTCTCCGTATTCTGTCTTAGCCAAGTGCTGCTCGTATTCAAAGCACATCAGCATTTTTGCCCTGTTGCTGTTAATCACATGTGACTATTTCGGTGACTATTTGTCTGTATCGTTGATCGTAGAATGTTTAGGACGAAAGCGAATCATTACATCATCGTGCTGATGCAGCCTCGACCATCTTTCGCCTACATTCCCGAGATCGTGATCAACTGGTCAGGCATAACTTCTTCGATCGATCACATTCATGAAAAAGAGGGAACTTCCATGAGGCAAAACTAGTCTTTTTCATTCTACGTTCTAGTTTTTGTCCATGACTAAGGTGATTCATTTGTAATGATAAATCTAAACGTCATTCCATAAGTCAGATCATGTCTGCAGCCTTATTCTTCGTTTCCCCTTCATCAGTGTAAACGGGGAATCAAGCACGCGGCGTTTTCGCTTCAAAATATGCTTATCCGTACTGTTGACCGTAAAAGTATGGGCGTTATCGTCGCCCGTGAAGCGATAGAACATGGACATCGCACAGAGCACCTATCTAAGTGCATCGCCTTCAAATGACACTGTCTCTTGGTATTATTTCTGGAATCTACCTTGATGACCGCGTAAATAGCCTATACATCTTTGATAGATCGGCTGACTTTGAAAGATAGCAAAGCAAGCTTACGAGACCAAGGAAGTAGCTGTGAGCCTGACCACCATTAGTGCACTTGTATTGGATTCAGGTTACTGCGTTAGTTTCTCATTTAGCCTCATGCCTTGTGTCAGTTTTTTCGTGCAGTCAGCTGAAATACTGCTCAGATGGAGAAAAATAACATTAGATTACTGCAACTTCAGGATGCAGGCATCGGAACAGAGTTTGAAGTGCCATATTCCACAAATAAAGTCCCAACAAACTTGAAACTTTTTCGAACCACTTGTTTATGCCGTAAGTCTGCTATCTTTGTCAGATAAGACGCTTTTACAAGCATCTTAAAAGACAGTCCGCACCAGAACCATGGTATTTCCACCAACAATATTTGGCGATGTAACCATCTCTGAAAATGTCTCTCGGTGGACCACGCAACGATGGGCTTTTGGGATTCATGATGTGTTTGGATCCCCTTGCTTAGCTCAATCTGACCTAAAGACATTAAACGTATTCCAGCCGTGGTTATCTCTGGAGGACATTCAAGCCTAAAAACTTCTCTCAGACCCGTAATGTTTATTCCAGATGAAAATCAACTCGGTTTAGGTTGGTCTAACTTGGAGAAATGGCCGAGAAGATACTACCAGGTCTCTGTAGTCAGTCTATGAACCCGGAATATATTATCCCCCGTTATTCTTACTTAGAAGAACAAACGACAACAATTGGGGAATGGGTAAGATTTGGTGTTCCTGGAACTTGTACCAGCCACATTTTATCTTAATCTTTTTACAAAATATAAAACTGGATAAACCGTTCGTGAGAGTACATGTGGAACGCATTTTGCTCTAAAATTCACTTTGTGTACTATTAAAATGCACTATACCACTTGCATCTTCGGGGAAAGATCTATGCATTATGAGATGGACAAGTCAGCAACTAGTTTCTAAGTGACAGGCAAATGATTTCTACGTCGAACTGTTCCAGCAGAAACAGCGTCCGAAACATGGACGTTGAATTTCACTAAAAATACACATCAAATAAAGCTAGATCCAGGGCCATCCCCGAAAGACTTCAAAACTCAAGAAAGTTCGTTTCTACCAAAAATGCTTCCCAAACGCGGCTGTATGTTATTGATCACAATGGCCCCAAACTGGGTAAGCTTTCTCTGACTTAACAAGATATTGATGGATACGCTTTTATCCATTAAAACTTTTGACGCAATCAGCTTATATACAAGAAAAACACCGTCATTTCCGAATGGTGTATAAGTAGAGAGCACTTAGCCCTATGGGCCCGCCTAACATTTTGGAAGTCCAGATAAAAGGGAAGTTCAATGTTGCTTGGAACGAATATTGACAAATACCGATGTCTTTTGGATTATCAGAAAACAAAACATTGCTTCTGAAAAGAAGGAAGTATCATGGGTCATGATGACCTGTTTCACAATCTTCGGGTATGCTTTCAGACTACAACCAACTGTTTTAGCCAACTAAAAGGACAAACTCTGGAATCGTAAAATCTCAGGTGATTTGAATAACATGGGTAAATAAATCTTGACTTTAATTCGCTTCAAAGCAGTATGCTGACGTAAAAGGTATTCAACAAAAACTCTATAGATATTATCTGCGCTTATAAGCAGACGAGGTGTATCAACTCAGTTTTACCAAAATGCTAAATACTCCCATCCTTAACATGACAAGTTTATTGTTTATTTAATCATAGGGAATGGTCAGTTGGTAGCCACTGACAGAGAAGTGGCCTGTTAAGAAGTCAAGAGCGTTAGGAATTGAGCTGTTCCTAAAATAGGTGACATAATATTCAAACCAAGCATTTCTGCACAAATTTGTGCGTTACTAGGTCATAAATTAGACTGCGGAGTTATCTCGCACTGGTCAGGCTGGATAACCACGGCACAGTCAAAAGACTTTTCAAGAGGTTTGGGGACATTTGTAAGGAGAGTCAAACGAAATCTTGTCTTCTTGTCACCTTGTTGTTTAATGAGGTGCTGCAAAATTTAAGTATGCCTGTAATACACGCATGTCAGGAGTTATAGTCACTTGAACTCTGTGGCCTGATAGAAATCCACACTGAATAGGTCAGGCACAACGAATTTTCATATATTCACAGATAGCCCTAGAGATTCGGGCAACAATGGATTGTTGTATTATATTTAAAAAAATATTATGGAAGGGAAGCCGATAACGTTTTTCATGAGATTTCATTGTACGCGCTTCAAAATTATAGAATGTGCAAAAACCAACATAAATTTGCCGCAGTCAGCTTTTTAGAGTCAGGGTGGCTCACTATTCTCTTAGCTCTTCAACAGTCAATACTACTTACACTTCTATTTCTACCCCACCCATATAGATTTTGAATACGTGTACCGCAAAGCCTGGTTATGTGGCCAAAGCACACCGATCAATACTGTGCCAAAACGTCGTTCTGCTCTGAGTTTGAAGAGTACATGTGTGCATTCCCATGGACAGTTCAACAGTACTGACTCCAAAAGCAGATTTAGAAACAAATCTGGGTGCTTCGATTACTAACAACCTCTAAGCACGGTTCATTAACTGGTGACTATAAGAGCAGCAGACGATGTCACGAGCTTAATCAAAAAGTCACTTTATGCTTCCACAACTGAAGGTTCTCAGCTGATGTGCGAAAGATAGGTCCAGCCAGGGCAAAAGTTGTCATCAGCAGTCAAGTACGGCAGACAGTAATGCTTAAAGTAAGACAACACAGCTGGTGACCAGTTTGCACGACGTACCTAATAAGCAATGGTCAGAGAAGACCCGTCAACTCAGCAAGATATTATTTTACTTCCTCAGTTTTGCATTCGGTGGAAGAAAGTGTAGAAGAAACAGTCGAACATTTTATCAGGCAGTTTTATCAAAATCGTCGAGTAACGAGAAGGATTTATATTCGTGGTGGTCAACTTCACAACCATAAGTTTTACAAATTAGTGCCTTAGTAACAAGGTGAAGCGTGCAATAATGTTAGTTTCCTAGGGTTTTAGTATACACTGAAGTGTTTATAGTCGCATTTAAAACCAAGTAACATACTCGCCTGCTATAACTTCACCCATCAATCTAAGCGACAGTCATCATGATCTACCACTTCTTTAGTACTATGTATATCGACTTGGAAAAGCTTGCAAGCGCTAGATAATTGGAGGTGATCCTCATATTAGTACATCTGCCACTGAAATCCCGTTTGACTGATAATATGAGCTTATGATTTGTGGGTCGTCTGTCCATGTCTAAATAAAGCTAAATGTCGGTGCATCTCAGAAAACAATAAGTTCCTGTTCTTGCTTTCATAATTATTGAATATTCCTGGCATATTGTTTCAGAGTATATATCAGACAAGACAACAAAAAAAGAATTAAACTTACCTCGCATACTCCCTTTGATCCAAAAAGACGATCTATAGTGTGCACGGCTTGAATATCATTTTTCTTTTCTAAATATCGCTTCAAAATCAGCATATTCCAAAAGGATATCAGGTTGAATATCAGCGACAGAGTGTCGAAAATTGCTAGGCAGGCGAGGTAAACGTGTCCGGAAACGTGCGTCCGAAAAGGATGTAATATGAATGCAGATAGTAAGTTGCCTATATAGGTTAGAATGTCCACACCAACATTACCTATGCTCCCAACAATTGTCAGAATTGGGTAGGCTATCAGCATAAACAGTAAAACTGGCTGACTTGGCACAGGGATATTCGAACTGGC